TACAGATTTTTCATTATGATACAGATTTTTAATCAATAGAAACCTACAATTTTTCAATCAAGCATGATGTTTGACGTTTGTCCTAAATTCCTATGTAATTGTTTTAGTTGTCAAAACGTATTAAATTTTCGTAGATAGCTAAACTTCGATAATTATAATATTAAAATGTCTGATATCAGCGATATAAAACACTCCTCCACACATATAGGAGAAAGGAGAAAATGCAGTACAAAATATTTTGCCCCAAAAATCTGTGGTAATACCAGTACCCAAGGTAATACCATTAATTACAATTTTGTAGAATTTTTTATAGAAATACGAGTAATTACTGTTATTGTGTTCAATACCAATATAAATAGAATATTTATAGGTCTTGATTATTTATCGGGTGTAGAAAAAATAGCGTATGCAACTCTCATGTAATGGTTATTACATGATCGTTGCATAATATACTATTGTCCACGACCACTTAATAATAAATCAATATTCTACCTCCTAACTAAGAGCATATAGTACCCATATATCACGGAGTGAATTATGATAATTCACGCTTTTGTAATTCTGGCACATTCCGATAGATAACTAAAGATAGGCGATACTTTTCATAACGATATTTTCTAGATCGAAAAATCGAAAAATCAAAAAATCGAGAAACCGAAAAATCGAAAAGAAATCGAAAAATCGAAAAAAAAATTGAAAAATCGAAAAAAAATCGAAAAATCGAAAAAAAATCGAAAAATCGAAAAAAATCGAAAAAATTGGAAAAAATCGAAAAATAAAAAAAAACGAAAAATCGAAAAAAATCGAAAAATCGAAAAAATTGAAAAATCGAAAAATCAAAAAAAAAATCGAAAAAAAATCGAAAAATCGAAAAAAAAAAATCGAAAAAATTGGAAAAAATCGAAAAATAAAAAAAATCGAAAAAAAAAAAAAAATCGAAAAATAAAAAAAAAACCGAAAAATCGAAAAAAATAAAAAAAAAATCGAAAAATAAAAAAAAATCGAAAAATCGAAAAAAAAAAAATCGATAAAAACGAAAAATCGAAAAGTCAAAAAAACAACAGTTAGTTACCTATGTTTAATAAAAACTTTCCATTCACACTTAACTTTTATTTAATAAAGAAACCATAATGGTCGTGGACAAAGTATAGTATTAGACTAGCAATTTATGGCGGAAAAAAAAAATGGAGAAATCGAAAACAATCGAAAAAATTGGAAAAAAAATCGAAAAATAAAAAAAAAAGAAAAATCGAAAAAAAATCGAAAAATAAAAAAAAAATCGAAAAATCGAAAAAAAAATCGAAAAATCGAAAAAAAATTGGAAAAATCGAAAAAAAAAAATCGAAAAAATTGGAAAAAATCGAAAAAAAAATCGAACAATAAAAAAAAAAAACGAAAAATCGAAAAAAATATCGAAAAAAAAAATCGAAAAAATCGAAAAAAATGAAAAAATCGAAAAATCGAAAAAAATCAAAAAAAATCGAAAAAAATCGAAAAAATTGGAAAAAATCGAAAAATAAAAAAAACGAAAAATCGAAAAAAAAATCGAAAAATCGAAAAAATCGAAAAAAAAATCGAAAAATCGAAAAAAAAAAATCGAAAAATCAAAAAAAAATCGAAAAATCGAAAAAAAAATCGAAAAATCGAAAAAAATCGAAAAATAAAAAAAATCGAAAAAAACAAAATCGAAAAATAAAAAAAAACGAAAAATCGAAAAATCGAAAAAAATCAAAAAAAAATCGAAAAAATTGGAAAAAATCGAAAAATAAAAAAAACGAAAAATCGAAAAAAATCGAAAAAAAAAATCGAAAAATCGAAAAAATTGAAAAATCGAAAAAATCGGAAAAAATCGAAAAATAAAAAAAAATCGAAAAAAAAAAAAAATCGAAAAATAAAAAAAAAACGAAAAATCGAAAAAAAAATCGAAAAAAATCGAAAAAAATCAAAAAAAAATCGAAAAATAAAAAAAAAATCGAAAAATCGAAAAAAAAAATCGATAAAAACGAAAAATCGAAAAGTCAAAAAAACAACAGTTAGTTACCTATGTTTAATAAAAACTTTCCATTCACACTTAACTTTTATTTAATAAAGAAACCATAATGGTCGTGGACAAAGTATAGTATTAGACTAGCAATTTATGGCGGAAAAAAAAAAATGGAGAAATCGAAAAAAATCGAAAAAATTGGAAAAAAATCGAAAAATAAAAAAAAAAGAAAAATCGAAAAAAAATCGAAAAATAAAAAAAAAATCGAAAAATCGAAAAAAAATTGGAAAAATCGAAAAAAAAAAATCGAAAAATCGAAAAAATTGGAAAAAATCGAAAAAAAAATCGAAAAATAAAAAAAAAAAACGAAAAATCGAAAAAAATATCGAAAAAAAAAAATCGAAAAAATTAAAAAATCGAAAAAATCGAAAAAAAAATGAAAAAATCGAAAAATCGAAAAAAATAAAAAAAAAATCGAAAAAAAAAATCGATAAAAACGAAAAATCGAAAAGTCGAAAAAACAACAGTTAGTTAACCTATGTTTAATAAAAACTTTCCATTCACACTTAACTTTTATTTAATAAAGAAACCATAATGGTCGTGGACAAAGTATAGTATTAGACTAGCAATTTTTGGCGGAAAAAAGAATGGAGAAATCGAAAAAATCGAAAAAATTGGAAAAAAATCGAAAAATAAAAAAAAAGAAAAATCGAAAAAAAATCGAAAAATAAAAAAAAAATCGAAAAATCGAAAAAAAAAAAAATTGAAAAATCGAAAAAAAAAATCGAAAAATCGAAAAGATCGAAAAAATCGAAAAAATCTAAAAAAATCTAAAAATCGAAAAAAATCGAAAAATCAAAAAAAATCGAAAAATAAAAAAAAAAGATCGAAAAAAAAAATCGATAAAAACGAAAAATCGAAAAGTCGAAAAAACAACAGTTAGTTACCTATGTTTAATAAAAACTTTCCATTCACACTTAACTTTTATTTAATAAAGAAACCATAATGGTCGTGGACAAAGTATATTATTAGACTCGCAATTTATGGCCATTATTCACTCGGGTGACTTGCGCCCCTCGCCTACGGCTCGGGACGCAAACGTCACCCTGCGTGAATAATGGCTACCATAAATTTGCTCGTTTAATAATATACTATATTCCTCCTGGGTAATATTTTTCATTGACCCACATATATCTAGATGCACAATGTCTAATATGTTTTTAGTTTTCTTCTCTGAATTCTTGGGATAAGGTAACCTTTCCTTGAATGCAGCAATCATGGTATAACATTTTAGTGTATTCTTTCATGCTTATACCTTGAATCATATTTTTGTGATACATATTTCCCACAGCAACTTGATCTCGATGACCAAATCTTCGATGCCATTTATGAATAAAAGCCGTATTTTCTTTATCCCATATAGAATAAGCTTTTTCTGGAAACTGCAGTTTATATAGTTTGTTTTCTAGCTTAGCAACAGCGTATATTTTATTGTTTTTTGTAATTTTGCATGTTCCATTTTATGTCTTGGCTTCTTTCTTTACTTTCTTTATTCCCGCGCTGGGCCCATAACCTGTCGAGCTTCGTGAAATTTCAGATATCACACAATATAAAAGAAATTAAGTTTTAAACTTCTTCAGTTTGACTTTTATGTATTTTATAAAAAGTATAATACAGGGTATTGAGTTAATATTGTGTATCCAACATAAAACACATAATTAATTTAATTTTTGAAATAGGTATTGTACCAAAATAGTTCAAACATTCTATTATAATTCCTATACAGGGTGTCCCAAAATTAGACTGTCATATTTTAACAGCGTAATTTATCTTAAAATAGTAGTAAAAGTTCATATAAACAAAAACGTTTCATTTCCGAGATACAAGATGTTACAAGTGAATTTCTGATGGCACATTTTTGTAAATATTTTTTTAAAATTTCTTTAGTTTTCCAAAGATAAAAACAATAAAATTTCTACTTCCACAGGCTTACTAATTATTGTTTACACTTTCGAATAAGAAAACATCAACTTATTATAAAATTTTCAAATGCTTTTCTCTTGAAAATGGTGCGTCCTAGCGAGATGCAACAAAAGTAGCTTTATTATAAAGAAAATATTTTTAAACTATCAGAACGATAAATGCACTGCCCAAAGAATTGGTAAATTTTTTAAAATGAAAAAGATGACGCTTTTTGGACACCATTTTAAATTTTTATACGTAGGTAGGCTTAAGCGACAATGGGCGCAAATATTTTTACATGAACAGATCTAAGGGAGTAAAAAGGGATCATATAATTTTACATGGACATATTTAAAAGGGACCAAATATTTTTTGATAAATAGGCGAAGTAAAGAGTCTAAATATTTTACATGAGCAGGCTTAAGAGGTAAAGGGGCAAATTATTATTGGATAAATTGCTCGAACAAGTTTGTAAACCCTAATCAAAAGACGATATAGAATGGTTTTAAAAATCAAGGCTTGTGAAAACCATCTCATGGTTTAACCTAAGTAATGACAATGCTTCACAATACAAAAAATTCAACATCTTAATACTACTATCGGCTTTAGGTCCTTCGTTCCAAGTTATATCATTTCTCGATCTTTTTACGCTACGAGTTTACCCTTGTGGGCCTCAGTCTCGATAAGGTGGGAACCACCATTTTAGCGTCTCTCAAATTTTCTTTATTATAATTAGTTTTTACAAAAATGTAATCCAAGCTGGTGCCACTTACACTACTAGTAGGGTGAGGAATTTGATTTATATATTTATATTTATACTCCTCCGTTATTTCGTTATTGCTAAGCAGGTCGATGTTAATAACACCAGTTATGATATGGATATCGTATTTTTTATTTATTAAATAATTGTTAAGGTCCTCAATAAATATTTTGGGCATGTATATTTGGTAGATTTATAAATGGCTCTGACCTGTACTGTTGTTTTTTTAATAAATTAGTACATTATAAATAAATAGTAAATGAACTGTTTTTAAAACTAAATAATAGTATATACCTCAGCCATTCTAGGATTCCATCCTCCGTGACCCTGTTGCATAGATTTAAGTTGTTCTACTGAAGCATTTACTTGGACTTTATCTCCTACCGTAAATGGACAAGGACCAGATCTACCTGGTCTAACTACTGGATCAATATTTTGACCTAAAAACGCATAAAATTTTATATCTGGATTAAACGTCTTTGTTTTAAGTTATTACCTAATATTGGAAGATGATCTGGATAGAAATATCCACCAGAAGCAGATTCTAAAAATTTTATATCACAATTTCCCTTATGACCTATTCTATATACATTGGTGGATCCTGAAAACCATCTTACATTCGCTACTGATCGACTACTTTCATTGTCCCATCCTCTTATATCCAAGACAATACCAGCTTTACCTACGGATCAAAGACATATTAATAAGAACATTTTTTGTAAAACAAATAATTTTTTTTTTGGTATGATCGGTCAATTATTTTTATTAATACAACTACAAATGTTTTGGGAGACAATATTACCATCTAGTGCATTCAAATTTATTTGTAATGATGTGAGACGAAAAGATAGGGTATCATTGTTTTTAAATAAAAAAATTATTTGTTAAGGTACCATTTGGGTAGGCGCGTCAGGAGACAAGCGACCACTGAAGCGACCCCAAGGTCGAGTAGGAAGACAGATGCACAAATGTTACGCTACATACATTTCGCAAGCTTGAGAAGTGTCGCGCGACATTTACAGGGATAACCATTCGAGGGAACAATCAGCGTTGCCAGACCTACTGTTTTTGTCTCTAGCAAATTTTGTTTTTAATTTATTAAGTTTGCCTCATTCTTCAGCAAATGGTTAAAGAATATTTTCTCTAGTAAATTTTCTGCAGTAAAAGCAGCGTAATAGGCAGCCACTATTGTAGGTTTGTTTTTATTTAAACTGCAACAAAGAATTATTAATAGGACAACATAAAAAGAATATGCATGTACGTATTTGAATTATTTGATTCAGACTGATCTGAAAGAAATACCTATCATTTTTCATTAGTCTTTTTTTTGTTTCCTGACGTTAAGTATATAATAAAAATTTATTTTTCGTTTCTTATATAATTATTTGTTTTTTTTTTTATTTACTACACTGTAAATTATAATTATTTCCACCTGTACTAAAATCTACTGTTAAGATTCAATGATTTATTGTTTTTTTTTTCGCTAATTTTCATCTGGCAACTCTGGCCGACAGATCGATATAACTTGTATCATTATTCAGTTCGGAGAGAGTGGTTTTTGTGGAAACATATTATTAGGAGTTATTTCTAAAAAAATGATCAAAAGACGAATATTAAAAATGTTACTCGAGGAGGAAGAGGATGATGACAACTTGTTGTATTTTTTATACAAAAAAAGGCGACCAGTGAATTCAATGTATAAAAATAGAAGTACAGAAGGAATTTATTCTGTGTTAATAAACACTCATTTAGCTCTAAACGAAGACAAATTCAGACAATTGTTCAGGTTAAATAAAAGTCAGCTTAATTATATATTAAGTTTGCCTTATTCTTCAGCAAATGGTTAAAGAATATTTTCTCTAGTAAATTTTCTGCAGTAAAAGCAGCGTAATAATCATCCACTACTGTAGGTTGGCTCCATAAAAAAAAACATCAAGATAATCATTGTTTTTATTTAAAATGAAACAAAGAAATAATAGGGCATCATAAAAAGAACATGCATTACGATTTTGAATTATCTGATTCAGACTGATCTAAAAGAAGTAGGTACTTATTATTTTTCATTGGTTTTTTTCCCGTACGTTAAGTATACAATAAAAATGTTTTTATTTGTTTTTATTCTTTGTTTACTTTCTAATTTGGGTAGAAAAAAGTTTATTTTTCGTTTCTTATATACTTGTTTTTTTATTTACTACACTGCAAATTATAATTATTTCCCCCTGTATTAAAATCTACTGTTCAAATCTACGGCTTTTTTTTACCCATACTGTTCCAAAATCTGGCAACGCTGTCTAGATCGAAAGAAATTTCCATCCTAATCACCCTCAAAATGAACCGATGATCGAGAACAGTGACCCCGAGTGCGACATGCAGCAAACCTTTGCCCCGAGGCAGATTCAGAAGTGTCTCCAGGAAGTGTCGTCTTGACGACACTTCTCGTGTCGCGCCGTGCGAAATGTGTTTCATATAATTGTATGTATTTTAGATGTGAAGCGACACTTCTCGGTCGCGTCAGCGGTCGTATGTCGCGTCGGCGGTCGTCTGTCGCGCCTACCGAAATGGTACTGTAACCTACCGCACCCAGGTACCTTAATAATTTATTAATTTAATTTATTAAATACAATATTGCATTCTTTTAAATTCAAAATTCTTCATTTAACGAAAAATCTCCCAGATAATTAAATCTTATTTACGACATTTAATAAATAATAGCTATAACCACGTCCGTAATATATCCACGTGTCTCTGTGAACCAGCCCAAAGAAAACACCATAAAGCGTATTTCTGTTTACGAAGTAATTATCATTAAAACACTTAACTCGCTTATATTTCTAGTTTCGATTTCTAGACCGATTTCGACAATATTTCAATACACAAAGAGATCAAAACAAGTAATAAATAACCCACCCCCTTTTGCACCTACATTCGTATTTTCTATGAGAAACGAAACGATAGAGACGTCATAGAAACGATTAAACTGTGTATAAAAAGTCTGACGAAAAGGAGCTCATATTCATTCAATTTTTATCATTTGATGTGCAAGCATACATTTTGTTATTTTATATTCAAGCAATCACTTTGTTGTCTGTGCCCAGTTATATGGTCTGTACCCTTCCTAAACGCTCTTCCTAAATGACGTCTATCCCACAATACCTCCTATTTCCCAAAGGTGTCAACGTCTCGACGGCCAACGTCTTGACACGCCCAGCGTCCTGCTCCCTATATCTCGAACGCTGTCACATTCCTTATCATCTGGGTATTTCCTACCGTACATTCATTTCGACGCTCAACGTCCCACGCCTTATTTCCGACGCTTGCCGTCCCCATAATTATTTCCTTCATAATATCACGTCCCGCACCACCTACCTAATTCTACCGTATATCTGTCCCAATGCAGTGCCGTATTGAATACCTTCCTTTCCACCACGACGCTAGGCGTCTAGACGCGAGGCGGCGCCCAACGCCGCGACGTGCCTAAATCGACGCCTTCCACGACGCTAGATGAAATTAGTACATAATCTAATGTCTGTATTTTCAGTGGTGAGTCAAAGGATTTACATATCTTTCTTTCAGATACCATCCCGGTTTCGTTTAAGGGCAGGCTTGACATTTGCTGTAAAATATTATCAATAAACCACATGGCCTTCAGGTCATACACCCCGAAAGATAGGATAACATCTGTTTTGGATGGGTGAAATTTTGAGTATTTTAATAGAAATTATAAAAATCAATATTAAGAAATATACAGGGTTATATTAAGCCATGTCAATAGAAATAATAAAAATCAATATTTTGGAAATATACAGGGTTGTGCTATCTTGGATAAATTGTACAAATTAAGATGGTAAAATTTAATAGTAAGTTAACCAACTGGCGAATACGCTGTTCGTTAGCTCAAGGGGGGACACCTATACGCTAAGCAACCCGTTCTACAAGGTTTGAAACAAAGTATATGTGAAATCAACATAGTAGGTAATCAACTGGAGAATTGGCGCTGTTTGTTACTTCCGTTGGTCATCACCTCTATACTCATCGTAATATTTACCTAAGAGGGTGCAACCTGTATATATCTACAATAGAATCAAATCAACATCAACTCAATAGTTAACCAACTGGCGAATTGGCGCTGTTCGTTAACTTCATTGGTCATCAACTTAGATAAGAATATAAACAACAACACTACAGTTAATCAACTGGCGAATTGACGCTGTTTGTTAACTCTGTTGGTCATCAACCTAAATAAAATATATATTGATAGCAAATGAATATGGTCTGCGTTTGAACGGGACTCAAGTGAGATCTCAGTAAATAGTACCAATTGTAATATACTTTGCGAATTATTGCATCACATTTAAAGTATGAAAAATAAAAAAGAGTTTAAATATGAATTTGTATGTTTTATTTATCAATTTGCACCAAACTTTGCATCGAATTCTGGTTTACCTTAATTAACATTATCACAACGTGGGTACATAAAATATCAATTAATTAACTAGACGATCATTTCTACTACTAGAGGAAAAAGGCCAAATATAGTAAGTAAAGAATTTAAAGTAAAACTTGTGAGGTAAATAAAAACACATTTGAGAGTAAAATAACGAATAAATCTAAAAGAAAAGGGGGCCTGGGGGGGTGGCCGTCACAGTACCTTTATTGTTCCTCGATGTTTTTTTATAAACATACAAATAATGTATTAATAAAAATAATCGACCGATCATATTAAAGAAGTTTTATAAAAAATCTACTATGTTCAGAGGATTGTCCTTTTTTAAATAATAAGAATGTTTGTACAATTTTAATTATTTTTCAATATTACCTGAAACTATAGGGGAACTGGGGGGCAGTTGATCATCAGGGATATATGATCATATTTTTTGTTAAAAAAAAACTGTACAAGTTTTCCCAAAATCACAAATTTCCAGGAAAAGTTAAGCAGTCTGGCAATCATGTATTCTCTTCACAGACAACTCAACTGACATTTCGGGGATTTACAGTTGGTTGTTTAGTTTGGTGGTGTAAACATAAATAATTTAGTGTGCTGTGTTTGTTTTATTGCAAAGTAAATATTTTAGTTTTTGCAATTTATACATCTGCAATCTGGTGGTGTTTGTTTGAGTAATTGACCATTATACTGCTGTTGCTGTTTATATTCAAGGTTATGTTAAATTTCATTTTCGTTTGCTGTGTGTCCTTAAAGGGATACTTGATTACTCCTAAAAGAGGGATACTTGATCCGATGATCAAATATCCCATTGCATTTTTTTTTTGTGAAAAAACACAAATTTATAAAATTTTGAGTTTGTTTATAAGGTGTTTTTTTTGCAGATGCCATGGTTTTATAAAAGAAAGGAAGGTTCATCATCTAGAATAAAGATAAATGAGAAAACTATGAAAAAAGCTGCCCAGAAAGTCCAATAAAAGTAGTGGCTAGAAAATATAAGATCGGCAGAATGACTTTTAAAAGGTTCATGAAGAAGTATGAGACGAATCCAGATTCAAAAATGCCATCAGATTATAAAAAACCATTAATATTTTCACAAGACAAAGAAGAGGAATTTGCAGATTATTTGAAATCATGTGCAAAAATCAACCATGGTCTCACATTGAGAAAAAATAGGGAATTGGCATACGAAATAGCAGTTCGAAATGATATTCCAAAGCCAAAGCAATGGGATGACAATAAAATTACTGGCATAGATTGGATTCAGGGGTTTATGCACCGCAACAATACTCGTTTCTCTAAGAACTCCAGAAGAGAGCCACTAGATTCAACAGAAGCAATGTTGGTAATTTTTTTAACAATTTAAAAGTAATTTTGGATAGAGAAAAATGAAATGAAGATAATATATGGAATGTGGATGAAACAGACTGTACGAAATCTCAACAAAATTGTGGCTTTGAAAGGTCAAAGGCAAGTTGGCCAAATGACATCAGACAAAAGAGGACAACTAATTATCGTGTGCTGTACAATTAATGCATCTGGCAATAGTATTCCGCCATTTATGGTATTTCCTAGTCAATTTTAAGGCATTTATACTGACTGGTGCACCTGAAGGAGCCGCTAATGGGTGGATGTCAATTGATACATTTTATATGTATCTTCAACATTCTGCTACTGCTACATGATAGTCACATTTCTATTAAATCTATATACTTTTGTAAAAATAATGGAATTATTCTGCTGACGTTGCCACCCCATTGTATTAAAACCACTTGATGTGGGTGTTTTCGGGCCATTTAAAAATGCATATGACCGAAATGCAAATGAGTGTATGTCACAAAATCCCGGTAGAGTCATAACAATATATGACGTCTCCCAAATTATTGGGAAAACTTATCCATTGACTTTCTCTACTTCAAATATCAGAAACAGTTTCTAGAAAACTGGAATACACCCTTACAATCCATCAATATTCAAGGATGACAACTTCTTGACAGCATACATTACTGACTGTCCTCAACTGGATAAGTTCCTGCTGAAAACGAAAGTAGAGAGATTGTTAATACGAATCCACAGAAAAATAATTCAGAACCTTCTCACCTTCAGGATAAAGTAAACCAAACACCCCCAGGGCCTCCAATTTTCTTATTGGTCCCATTGAAGTTAAGCCATTCCCTAAAGCAGCCCCCAGGAAAATTAACAGAAAGGGAAGAAAGAAGATAAAGTCCGCAAATATTAACGGATACACCAGTAAAAGAGGAAATAGAAAATAATTTTAAAGAAAGGGAGGAAAAGAAGCAAAAAAAAGAGAAGCAAAGGAGGAAGTAAAGAGGAAAATTGTATCGTCTCTAAGTTCTTCAAGTGACAGAGAACTCTCGTTGAGAGAGTCAGTCAATTCTTCAATTGATTTTGAAGATGAGCTTGAGGAACTGCTTCCTGTAAATACCGGGAAATTTATACTCGTACGATTCAAAGGAGGCCAAAGACTGTCATCAATATACAAATATTTGTATGTGGTTGATAATGATGGTCATTGCAGGGTTATTGCTTTGAGATGTGCAGACAAAAGTAAAACAATCTTTTCACTTGCAGATTCCGACGTGACGTTCCAGTTGAAGACATCATTAGATTAGCCCCTGATCCAAATATTGCTTTAAAAGGAGCAAGAATGTATTATACATTTCCAATGCAACTTGATATTTTTGAAAGGGGTTAAGAATAATTGTATGCATTTATTACAAGTATATATATATTTTTTTTATCCGTGTTTTGTTAGAATAAACATTTCTGTTTTATTTATTTTTTGTGCTTATTTAAATGAAATGATCAAGTCTCCCCGAGTCCTGATCATGTATCCCACCTAGTGGGGATACTTGATAGTTTTGCAAAAAAAAATAACCAAAGTTGCTTAATGGTTTATAAACAACAGTATCTCTATCAAATCATATAAATAATTGTTACTACAATTATGTATTTACTTTTGTTCTACCTTCTTGGTTATACTTCCATAGATTTTCAAGAAAAAGTAAAACTGTTATCAACTATCCCCCAGTTCCCCTAAATTAAAAGTCATTTTATATTGATTTAATAAATTTACCTTCTCCGCCATCTTGGTTTCCCCATTCCCAACTGAAACCTCTTACAACTTTGGCTCCAACAAAAATGCCCCTCAATTCGCATTTTCTTTCTTCAGATCTTGGCGGTAAATCAATCCTGAATATAAAATATTCAGGCATTAATAAAAATAAATTAATAAACAATGCCAATCAAGATAAATTAGTGAAAAAATAGAGAAAATAGATTCATGATTTAATTAAACTAGTACTGATGTTATTTTTATAATATATTAACAATAAAAAAAGTCTTTGTCCTTTTTTGTTAAATAAAAACTCCAATAATGGTTGTTCTACATTTTTACTTACCCTAAGGACGTCACGGAGTCAAATCTTTTAAAAGTGTGCGTGGTGTTGTGTTTATCTCCGTGATAGCACATATAACACAAATCGTAATCTCGGCAATGATTGCATTTGTATCTCATGCCACTTATACCTTGCACACTACAACCATCGCATATTATATTTGGCTGTTTAACACCTAGAAATAAATTTTTATTAGATGGACATATGTTTATGTCAAGCAAAAATATTTTTTTGGATTATTTAAAATAATATAAATTTGTTGGTTGTTAAAAATATCACAGGATGCTTGTTCAAGGATGATGACAGGACAAATCACATTACTTATCTATCTGAATATTAAAAATGCATTTTTAATAGTATTGTTTGGGTTCTTCAAAAACACATGGATCTCGAACAAAAAGTATTTAATTTATAACAGTAAATAATTAATAATAAAAATAAAATGATTATTTTATTCGACACCTACCTATTTGTGCGTTATCAATGACCCTGAGGTCATATTTTTCCCAATAACCAACTCTATAGTTTGTACGAGTACCATTATCCCATTGGACTACGACAGTTTTTTCAGGCGATCCTACAGTTCCTGCCTTGCCAATTTCACAAACTGTTCCAACATGGCCCTCGCCGCCATCTAAACATACAAATAAATTTGTACTTAATGCCTAATATATTTTTGTTACATTGTTTTTTAATAAACATAAAATTTTGTTTTTCTCAATATTGGTTGGTTTAAATGTTTTCATGATCCAACTAAAACCTAGAGAAAGGGGTCTCATAACATAAATAATCATATCTGCTGTTTTGAGGCAAATTTGATAAATTCGTCCATAGAAATATCAAAAAGACATAATGCTTTAAAAATTGCTATGGTAGTCCCCGTTCTTTAGGCAAAAAAAGATTTAAGCAGTGGCGTAGCCACGGGGGGTTTGGCCAGAACCCCCCCATGGAAGGTCCTCGCGTCACCATTTCCGCTACAGTATTGGCGCTGATCACTATTAGACCGTCAGAGAGTGACTGATTTAGGTGCCCCATTTTTGCATTAAAATTTCCAAGAGGGTTGAAAAGTACATCGATGTTGAGTAGAATAAAAAAAAATTACGAGTGGCTCTTGGGGATAACATATGGATAATTCGATTTTCTTCATCAGAAAAATTTTCCGACCTCAAAATGCACTTATACATTCAGGTCATTCAAGAAAATATATTTTTCAAACTAGTGACGATGTACATTCGATGGGCTTGTGTGGAAAAATCTGGTAAAATCTAGATTTCTCCTTAGAAGATTATGCCCTTATTTCAACCGTTTAGCCATTTGCAATATTAAAGTCTTTGATTTTCCAAAGCCTAGTTCTATTAACTATAGTGAAAACCCTTGCGTAAAAATATGGGCAACAAATAACCTTCCATTTTTGTTGGGAAAAATCGAATTTTCCATGTGTTATCCCCAGGAGCCACTAGTAAATTTACTTTCATTCTTTTTAAAATCGATGTACTTTTCAACCCTCTTCGAGGCTTGTATCTGAAAATAGGACACCTAAACCTGTCACTATCTGACGGTCTATACTGATTGTTTGTTTTTATTCACTTTTAGACCGTCAGATAGAGGACTATTTCTTGATGAAACCCCCCCATAATTCTCAAAAACCCCTCCCATGAAAAATGGCTGGCTACGACACTGGATTTAAGGCCTATTACGAGGGTATATCAAATATAAACGGGACTGTTTGGATTAAAAATTCCTGAGCGGTTATTGATCTGGAAAGAATTGATGGGCAGTTACCCTTTACCTCTGGGGAGGGGAGAAAACCGTTCAAAATTCGCTCGCGTCTCTTTGGTATGCAAAGAAACCATGAGCGAGAAAGAAGTGCATATCTTCGTGGAGCAATGGATTATAACAAAGTTTTTGACAAGTGAGGGCATAAAACCAACCTAAATTTTGCAACGCTTGCAGGCACAGTTTGGGGATAACACTCTGTCAAGAACCCGTGTGTTTACATGACACCAAGAATTTTCTGGAGGACCTGAAAAGGTACACCTGTAAAAGCAAAGACGCGATTGTCAGCCGGAAAGGTAATGGGCAACACTGTTTTTTGATCGGCTAGGTGTTTTTCACGTTAACTTTCTACACGATCAACGCATGATTAATGCACAATATTGCTGAGTTACTGAAAGCCGCAAAATTGTCATTTCAAAGAAAAAGGAAGAAGCAATTGGTCAGAAATGTCTTTCTTTTGCATGACAACGCCAGACCTCATGTGGCTAATGTTACGAGGGAAAAATTGGAAATATTTATATGGGAAATACTGGAACATCCTCCCTATAGTCCAGACCTTTCCTCTTATGACTTCCATCCTTTTGGACCACTCAAAAAATCGCTTGGAGACCAGCGTTTCGACAGTAACGAAGTGATGAAAGCATTTGTACTCCAATGGCTACAGGAACGTCTGAAGAGTTTCTACGATGCTGGGATAAAAAAGCTACTAATCCGATAGGAAAAATATATTTCTAGGGGGAAAATGTATGTAGAAAAATAATGTATGTTTGAAAACTTATTTAAATAAAGCAAAACATTTTTACAAAAGAAATCCCGTTTATATTTGATACACCCTCATAGTATGTTAAGTTGTATCGAAAAAAATCATTGAGAAGGTCGTTTACAAACAAATTGTTGATTTTTTAGAACATAATAAACTTATTACTAGAATACAATGGGGGTAAGATGTAAGCATAACTGCGAATCGGCTATTCAGTGTGTTTAAAATGACGAAACATAAATTTCATAAAAACTATTCAATGTTGGCGCTTTATATAAATCTCCAAATAAATAAATATATATTACAGAAAAATCCATTAGTATACATAAATTACATAAAATAGCTTAAATACATTACAAAAGGTAGGTACAAAAATTCACATTAAATATATGAAATGAAATATACTATAGATATTAAAAACATTCTCTTTACATCATTCTGAAATTGACTAATTGAACACCCAGTGACATCTAAATTGTATTGATTAGTCAGTCTCATTAGTGAGGTGAAGTCGAATTGCAAATATACTATTATTCCTTGTAGTTCTTTCTTGTGGGAACTCTAAATACAATCATGGATAAATAACTCATCAGATGTAACAATCCCGGCTATGATCTTATAGAGGAGTGACAGATCCATGAAGATTCTTCGATTTACAAAGGTTGGGAGTTTTGTTAAGTTCAGAATTGTGGAATAATTATATGTACCTGTCACTAGACCAAGTTTAAAGGCACAATATCGTAAATATTGATTTTGGACATTTTCAATCCTTTTTACAGAGTTGCTGTAAAATTGACACCATATGGTAGAGCTATACTTCAAAATCGACCTAACATATGCAACATAAACTATTCTACAGACATCTAAAGATAGCGAGCTAGAGTTTCTTATTACCATACCTAACATTTTCATTGCTCTATTAACAATTTGATTATTAAAGGAAAGATCTGAGCAAAATACGATTCCCAGGTCTTTAATTTCGGTAACGTTTAATTAGTAGTTACGTGTTATTTAATTACGTTTTTTTTTTGTAAAAGTAATGCAATAACACTTGCTACTGTATAGGGTTAGACTATTAGAGGAAGACCATTCACATAAGGCATGGAAATCTTTTTCAAGTTTATTACAACAATCACCACTGTTAACCATTAAGTAAATCTTTAAATCATCAACAAACAGCAGATAGTTACTATATTCAAAAACAGATCCAACATCATTAATGAATAAATTAAAAAGTAAAGGAGCTAAGTGGGCCCCTTGCGGTACACTAGAAGAAACTTGTATGGGATCAGACAAATAATTCTTTATCTTGACACGCTGCATTCTACCAATGACATAACTTTTAAGCCACTTTAGAAGAAAAGTAGGGAATCCGTAGATTTGCAGTGTGAGTAATAATAATTTGCGATTGACTTGATCAAAGGGCATTTGAGACTGTTGATAAAAAAATTTACAAATTATGGGATTGTTGTGTTGATTATCAAATAGGAAACAAAGGTTAAAAGTAAATAACATTTTATCTCAGAAGAAATTAAATATATCAAAGATGTTCCAGAGGGAAAAGTATATTAGGTCCCCTGTTATTTTTAGTTTATATCAACGACATTGTTAATGTCAAGGATCAATGTGACATTTACCTGTTTGCTAATTACATATTTTTATAAATGGTTTTGCAATAATTTGCTAAAAATCTACAAAAATAAAACAAAATCGACAAACTACCTAAATAGTACTAATAGGTATCAACAGATATAGGTATCAACAGATATAGGTATCAACTGATATAGGTTCAAACAAAATACAAATTACTGATTTTAGAAAAAATTAATTAAAAGCCTCTGTTATAGTTACAAAACATTCTTCATTTACTAAAGTTGGTTGAATAGTATAGTTTACATAGTATATCTGTGGCGATTTTCTAATAAAATACTTTATCGGAACGCAGTACGCATTTTTATAGTCGGCTATGGCAGTTTTTATTTTCTTTGAATTATGACACTTACTTTTATTGTAAATCTTAAAAAACCTGTATAGTTAATTTGAATATTTTAGTTATTATATTTTTAATAAGTGAAAACTTGTCAAAAATCGAAAGTAAAAAAGTCATTATTTATAAAATCAAAACAAGGTAACTAGACAACACATTACAGAATATGATACCATTTACCAACCGCAAATGAGTACAAGGTAAGTAGTTTTACTGGTAAAGATAAAATAATTTTTTTTTTAAATGTGGTGACACCAAAGAGTTTGGTGGAATGTCACAGTGCACACTGTATCTAAAGATAGGAATAAGGCTTATAAAAATTATGTATCAAACAAAACAGAACAAAATAAAGAATTATATAAACAAAAACGTAATGTGACTGTTAAAATTATTAGAAATAAAAATAGAAAATATTATGACTCTCAAATTATGGAAAATAAAAATATTTTTGTTACTGTTACCTAAAAATTATAAACAAAATTATTTTGTAGACATTGAAATAAATGAAAATTTAATTGAAGAGCTTGTTGTGGAATAACATAAGCCACAACACTAATTTATTAAAGAAACACGCCTTTAAAGGTTAAAATAACTACTATAACTTTTTTTAAATTCAATAACTTAATTTGTTGGTTAATTATGGTATTTGTTGTAAAATTTTCATTTGCATTTATTGTCGTGAAGTAAAAATGCCTTTCTTTTAAACAGTGTGGCTTATCACTTTTTTTAAATAAGCCCTTCAATTATAAAAGAAATAATTGACATATTATATTGATGTATTAATTGACTTAGTATCTAATATAAATCAGAACGTTAACGATTTTTCCATTATTGTTAAAAAATGATAATGAAAGTCTTAAAAAGTTTAATCTTGTTAGTTTTGATAGTTTAAAATAAATTGTTTTTGATATGTCGAATAAAGGAAGTCCAGATGAAATAAATATATTATTTTTAAAAAACCGTTTCAAAAATATTGGTAATCCATTAATAAATATAATAAATTCCTTATTAGAAACTAATACCGTTCCAGACAACCTAAAAATTTCAATAATAATAATACCAGTAGCTAAGGTTGAGAATTCAAATAGGGTAGTAGATTTACGTCCTATTAATAGGTTTTAATTTTTTTTAGAGAAAATAGTATATCATATATACTAATTCAATATCTGGAAGACAATAATATGTTTAATAGTAATCAATCAGGCCTTTGGGGCAAACACAGCTGCAAGACTAAACTACAATGACTGGAAACAGAATTTTTGACAAGTTAATTACATATGCTCTTTTTTTAGGCCTACAAAGAGCATTTGAAACAGTAAATCGATCTCTACTCATTTTATCAAAAGAACAAAAAATGAATTAGGTGTATGCCAGGGAAGCATGTTGGGCCCATTATTAGTTACTTCTATATATTGATATTTCTCATGTTGCAGGTGATTGCTTCATGCATCTGCTTGCAGATGATACTCTGCTAATAATTTGCAGGAACTAACCACTACTGTAAATGCCACATTAAAGCAAATATATGATTGGTGCTCTTTTAATTAATTAAAAGTAAATATTAATAAAGTTTATGATCATTAGGAATGTTAGGTATTATAATGAATTTACTGAAAATAATATGAAGATTAGTATTGAAAATGAAGAGATTGAATCTGCACTAAAACAGCGATAGTGTGCAAAATTCTGTTCTACCCTGTTATCTCTGGTTCTACCACAATAAAAATCAGCCAATTCTGAATATACCTAATTCATTTTTAATACATACGCCCAGTGGGATTCAAATCTTGGACTTAAAGGTCCAAGGGTCCAGATTCTAACCACTGAGAACTGATCCAACCACTCCCCTATATAAATTTATTATTAAATATATAAATTCTGCAGAACTCCGCAAAATGATTATATTCTTAATATGCCCTGTAATAATTGTTGTTTACTCAATTTTTATTATCAAAACAAGTACTCATTAATAGATTGTCATATGAGGTATGCATAATTTGTTATTATATTTTTATGCCTAGATATTATGTGATTCTAACATCATTTAATTGAAATGAAACATATCAAAATAAAGAAATGTAGTGCAATGAAATTTAAAAAAAGAATGTGAAATTTTTTTTTGATTTTTTCTCTTTTGTTAAATATATAAAATAAACATTCCACAAATTTTTAAAGGATTACATAAAGCCATGCTGCATGCATAACTATATGTACATGACAAAAATAAAATTATTGTGTCACGACTTTATAATATCCAATTTTAACGAGATAACAATAACAATCCGAATTTAATAAAAAAAATTCAATATACCTTGATTTCCCCAGGACCAGTCAGGGCCTCTAACAATCCTTACACCAGGAGCCAGCATTTTGATTGAAATTTAGGAAGAAAACATTTTTAGAATCTACATAATAATAAACGATGATTAATCCTTACTGAGCTAAAATGTTAAATAGATACACAGACTTTTATTGAATAAATAACTAACGAATAGAAATGTGATTAATTAATTTGGCTTTGCAAAATAACAATGTTATGTTATGATATTTTTACACTTTATTCATTAAAGTCTAGTAAATAAAAATACAAAACGAAAAGCACGGACACAACCCTTCTTCACAAAAGAAAAACATTTATTATCAAAAACAGAAAACTGTCAACTGTCAAGCCTAATTGTCAAAATCAATTTGAGGCGATTTTTAGAGAAATATTTCAAGTGTTCCGCATATATATGCAACCAGTATATCGCCAATATTATAATCCACTTTTGTCATAAACATGCTCCTCGTTGCGGCACTACTGAGCATGCGCATTGAGTCGTTTTAATGAGACATTAAATGTTCTTATGAACCTGATTATTTTAATTCTATGGCTCTCTTCTCCTACATAATAACTGAATAAATGGTCGTCATATTCATTCGAATAATTATTTTCAAATAGAAAAAACTACGGGCCGATTCCACAGTTGTGTTAAACGTAGTTTAAATTACTAAACGAAGATTAAAATAACATTTTTACATTAACAACGTCATTTTAATTTAAATGTCAGTTTAATTTAATTTAGATGTAATTTTAATTTTTGTTTAGGGCCGATTTCACCGTTTGTTAAATGAAGATTAAAATGACATGTTTAATGTTAAAATGTCGATTTAAACCTAGTTTATTCCTTAACTACTTTCGGTGGAATTGGGATTTGGTTATTTAAACTTCGTTTAACACAACGGTGGAATCGGCCCTAAAGTGTTTATTAAAAATTTCAATAAAATTTTTAATTTAAACATTTAATGTTTTTTAAAGTTTTGACAAGTAAACTAGATATGCAGGCAACCACATTTTACAATTGAATGATATGTCGAAGCAGCATTTTTATTCCTTGAACAGTCATCAATAAATATGACATCGATGTCCATATCATATTTTCTTATCAATCCAAGGTCGTCGACAATAATTGGTGGCATTAGTCGAGATTATTCACTGTACATAAAAATTGTATCGCTCTTTTTTGCAGACTAAATCACGGCTACAACCTCAACCTCCTCAAAATGCAATTCCATATAATTTAATAGGGCTTCAAAAGAAGTACAGTTTTGTGAAAAACTTCAAAACCACAGAGCTGGGCTACAAGAAAGAATGGAGCCAAGAATCCATCGCGCTTGCAACCGAAAGACGTGCTATTCAGTGGTATACGGACGGTTCCAAAACCATAGAAGGAACTGGAATAGAAGTGTATGGGGCAGTATGGGCCAAGAACCAAGCACTCCGAAATTTTGGGGAAATACCCAAGCATCTTCCAGGCGGAAATTCATGCCATCGAGAAGTGTATCCAGTTCAACATCGATAGAAACTATCATAGACAAGAGATTATCATCATGTCCGATAGTCAAGCAGCCATCAAAGCGCTGAGCTCTTACGTAATCAGCTCAAAAATGGTCTGGAGATGTCTAGAACAATTGAATGAGCTAGGCGAGAAAAATAGAGTTACCTACTCTCACTTGGGTCCCGGGACATAACGGGGTACAGGGTAACGAGATTGCAGATAGTCTTTCAAGGAAAGGGGCTCAAACACCCTTTGTAGGACCTGAGCCGTTCTGCGGTATCAGCAGTAACATAATATTAGGAGAGATTAAAAAAGAATTAGGTAGTAGAAGAACCGATAATTGGAACAATCTCTTGGGGCTGAGACAGGCCAAGATACTTCTGCGTATTGAAACAGGGATCCTTATCGGGCATTGCTGACTATAAGGACACCTAAGTAAACTGAGAGTAGTAGAGGATAGTGAGTGCAGATTCTGTGAGGAGGAGGACGAAACCTCCATTCACATCCTAACTGAATGTGTAGCACTCCAGAATCCAAGGGCACTATATCTAGGAGGACATCAAATAGAAGAGGGACATTTACCTAACTTGAAGCCACTTCAGATCCTACATTTCCTTGGGAAAATAGGATTGGAAGGGTCATTATAGGCATTGAGACATTTCCTTGGTGCACTGAGACATTTCCTTGGTGTATTGGCGACAGAAGGGGGCACAATAATAGACCTTTTAGGTCTCAGTGTATTAACACCCCATTCCCAACATAACATAACTACAGAGTAATAGTTTAAAAACTATTTCTTTATAATCTTGAGCCACTGTTCGGACTGCAAAACATCCAGCAGAAAGTTTTTTGCTTAGCAATTTTATATGGTTCTTACATTTCTAATAATTATATTGAATTAATACCCAGAAATTTTATTGTGTTAGTCCATTCAATGTTATGACTTTCTGTAGGTTTCATTTCTGTGTCATAAAATCGTAGCAATTAGAGTGAAAGTGCTTATATTGTTAAGTTGAGGTAAGTCATTTATATAAAGAAGGAATAAAATGGGACTCAACACAGAACCCTGAGGTACTCTCCAACTTTATATCTTAATCTTGAAAATACATAATATATCTTACCACTTGAGTTCTGAAAGATAAAATTTTATCAGTGCTTTCTCTTCCATTCCTTAAACTAGAAATTTTTGCAACTATATTGTTTATGATTGACACAATGCAACATTTTAGTCAAATAACAGAATATCTACACTACAGCTTTGTTTAAATTAATTTTAGAGTAAGCAAGTTCAAGATAAGAAAATATCGTAATAAAAATCAAGCGGGCGGAGGAGGCGACCCAGACCTGATAATTGATTTAGGCAACCAATAATGCATATGTGTAATTTTCGTTGTATTTTTTCCAAGAACTCCGTGATGCGCATACATTGTAGTGCCGTTAAACACTTTTGATTAGGATCGTGAAGCGTTTCTCTGATGGTGGGGAGTTAAATGGTGTTCAGTATTTCTTATTTTTTCCCAATGACGTGATATAACTTGAATGAACTGGTTCTTAAAAAAATATATTGACCCACTGAAAAGTTTAAGAGTTGTACACGTCGAATAATTTAGTATATTTAACTCTTTCATTGGATGCGGTCAGTTTACATTAAATTGTGAGAAAACCAGAATAAACTATATACTTATTCGCTCAGTGCGAAGTCATGATAGGGGAAGCAAAAGCGACTCTAGCGTTAGCTGCAGATAATTCGTACATTTTAGGGCGATATTTTATAATTTTAGCACATGAAATACATGTATACATTTTACTCTTTTTAGTAGTGTAAACTACACAAATAATTAAATGTTCATTTTACGCATGAAGTTTATTATAATATTAAAATAACGTTACAAAAATAATAATTATTAAAACAAATGGAATAACACAGTCTTAACAAAGAAATCGACTGCATTCCTTAACGGTGTTCGATAATCTGCCCATCCAAATATTTGTCCCACTGACGTTGGGTTGTCTCTGCACTGACCGCACGACCCTTTTCTCGGCCGCTGTGTTTACGATGTTTTGGTTTCCCAGAAATCGTCTCGGGTTAAGGGACCATCCAAAAATAGATTACACTAGGTAAAAACAATACAATAAGCAACCAGAGTTGCTGTGTTGAAAATTGTAAAAACACTAGCAAAAAAAACAGTGTAAATTACAAAAATTTTCAGTAGTAAAGTGGAAATTAAATCTAAGAAATAAATGGATATGTGTACAATAAAGAGAAAAATTAAAGGTAGTTTTTGTAATAATAACAGTAATACTGGAAATAGTAGACATCAGAAACTTGAAAGGTTTTAAATAAACAATAAATATCATTTCACGATCCATTTAATCTCAAATGTTCATGCAACAAGAACTAGATTTCTGCCTTTGATTATTGTATGCATCTGGTATGCAATTTTGTGACTTACTGATAGAAAACTAGTTTTAATCAATCATTCTATGTTTTTTTTCGAACAAAATTGAAAATATAAATAACAATCCTTCTGTTTATACATTTTAACTTCATGCTAATTATTTAAAGATATTTTTTTATTTTGATGACAGAATAGGTTAATTCTTCAAAGACAACTTATTAGACTTAGGGTGAGATTACAGAACGTCTGCAACATTGCAGATCTGCAAATATGGCGGCAATTTTGCAGATCTGCAAATATGGCGGACTTACAGATGCAAGTATTCAAAAAATATCTGCAAATTCGCAATATTTATTACCTCTAACAACACTAAATCCAAATCCACCCTTAAGAAGGTTAGAACATCCTACAACCATGAAGTCTTCTGTTTCTTTTAATTGAATACAGTTCATGCTATCAGATTATCGAGTTTTTAAACATAGTAATGGATTTGGGTTTAGTGTTGTTGGGGTAATAAACCATAATAAATATTGCGAATTTGCAGATCTTTTTTGGAATACGAAAACTTGATACATGCATATGTAAGTCCGCTATATTTGCAGATTTGCAAAGTTGCAGACGTTCTGTAATCTCACCCTTAGGCAATTTCTCATACATTTTACTGTAAATACTGTTTTGCCTGCCTTTATTTTATTATTGATTTTTATTGAATATACTTAATTTTTTTAGTTTAAGCGATACAAATATATAATAATATTAAATTCATGTTTTACTTGTTTTACAAACCCATATACTTTTATTCAAACTAACATATAAAAGCACGGCTATGCCTAATACAAAATAATAAGTACTGTACGTGTATGTGTATACTAGACTAGGGCACGCATACCAATAGTTGGGTGCTAATATTTAAAAGGGACACCTTTGATATTACTGTATATAATTTTACGGTTCACTGCAAAATCCCTGTAACAAAATATTAATTTTTACCGTTGCATTTTAGCTGGTACTTCTCTGATAAAGGCTAAGGTGATAAAAATAGGCCCTAGCTGTATCACCTTTGCTCGAACGATAGTTTAGCTAAACCTTCCTTAGCTAAGAAACCTTCGATCATAATTATAAACAAAAATAACATGATTTACTTAAAAAAAACTTTAAATATTATAAGACAAATATTTTAAAAGGTAATGTTGTAGTTGAAGGGTCTGGAAATGTGCCAGTCCGCACCATTGCTGTTCCGGCTAGTTCTGTCAGTTGGAATCGTTACATAGTTGCCAGGTTATATTTAATTATTTGGAACCAGCGAATAAGCAGATTGAAATAACTTTTACTTTTAATCATCTATTTACCAATTTTTACATCGATTAAAAATCCCATAAAAATAAAAACATTCTAAAGATTTTTAAGTAATACGACCGTTATTTTTAATGTCAATAATACCTTTCAATAGTGATAATTACAAAATTTAAATTTAAAATCTATCAAAACTGTCTTATAAAACAAAACAGAATTGTTATTTCAAAATATAATATAAATCTTTATATTTATTTATCATACATTTTAATTTACAGAGGTTACAATTTGTCTAAATAATAAACTATGAAATAAAGCAAGCTAAAATGAAAGTGGAGATTTGGCAACGTGGCTTGAGCAAATTCAAATTCTAGACGTCAGTGCAGAGTGGTGTGAATATGCGCATTTCTAGACCCGTCAACTACAACATTACCTTTTAAAATGTTGACATGAGCTATAGATGTGCTATTAAACTAATTGTACAAATAAATATAGGATCCACAAACTTTTCTCCAATTTTAAATATATAAAAAAATAGGCAAACCGCTACTCCTTACTCCACCACTGGTTTTTCGATGTGTCAATGATATGTCGTTTGTCATACAAATGTCATAATACCATAAAGTCAAAATCAGCTGGAAAAAAAAACGATATTGATTAAAATAATCATTTGTCATTTCTCAAAATAATAAAAATTGATAAATCTATATTGTCAACAAATTTGGTAACAGAAGAACCTAATAAATTGTGATTAGCTGCTAACCATTTAATTATATTATTCAAAAATAAATTGATAAGATTTTACTATTTCCTTATTCCTAAACATGGGTAAGTAATGATTAATGATCTTTAAAATTAAATTAGATATTAAAAACAATGTTTTAGCTTTCAAATTGAGCTACAGTTTCGAAGGAAATTCGAAAACTAAACCAGAACAAAACTTATCTGGAGCAAGTAGAAAACTAACAAAAGATATATTGCTGCAAAAGACCCATGAAGAAAGACAAAAACGACAGGTATGTGTTACATACATGTTTACTTTATGTATTAAAAAATTAAACATTCTAGGAACAAAGACTGAAGTTACAAAGTGCTGAATTACTCCAATCGCATATTCGAAGTTATATTGAGAGGAAACACAAAAAGGATGAAGAACGAAGTCTTTTTGATGATCTTCAAAGCACTGCAGGAATTCAAATACTTCTTTCAAAGTTATTATTCTTTTATGATCCCGGACAAGATAAAGCTAGATTGGTATTTATTATTATATTCTATCTTTTAAAAATAACTCAAGTACAGTAAAGGGAAGTAAAAAGCTCAAAGTCTGTCGACCACATAAATTTATTAGGTTGCAAGCGCTTTCGACCTAAAAGGTCATCATCTGGCAAAAATTTTTTTGTAAGTGAGTAGATACAATCACTGTGTCCACAGAAAAATAAGTATGTTAAATTAAAAATTTAAATAAATTGTAAAAAATGGCACACACTATCTCCCTCATTCGAGTGAATTCATTAGTAAATTAAATGTTTTATCTAATGAGTTTACATCATGGTGTTATAGAAATTCTTTAATTGTTAATTCAAACAAAACCGTTTGCCTTCAGTTCTACTCCAAAAATCAAATTACCCAGAATAAATGTCAATAATGCTCTCAGATGTTACAAAATTTTTGGGCATACATATTGATAGCAATATGGGTTGCGATAGCCAAATATCTAAAGTTTGTAAAAAATTAAACAGGGCATACTATGCAATACTAAAATTAAAATCAATATTTTCCCAAGAGCAACTGCTTAATGTCTACTATGCTTTAGCATATTCTCATATATCATACATTATTCTTTGGGATGATGCAGTCAATGCAACTAAAGTATTTATCTTACAGAAAAGAATAATCTGGCTTATTTTTAATCTAGAATTAATGCAAACTTGTAAATATAACTTCAAAAAATTTAAAATATTAACATTTCCCTGTATTTACATTTATAAAACGTTTGCTATATGCTAAACGCAACATACACCAATGTTTACAAAAGTCAAATTACCATGAATACTCAACTAGTAATGCAAATTTATTCAGAACACCAAGATATTCAACAGCATTCATTATTTGAGAAATTGCCTGAATTTGTTGGAATTAAATTTTTTAATCAACTCCCTGATTTCATTAAATCTGAAAAGAAATATGAACCTTTTAAAAGAAAACTTAAAAACTATTTAGTAGATTCATGTTTTTATAATTTATCTGAATACCACCATATTTTTAGGTAAATGTTTTTTTAATTGTATATTTGTAATGTGCATGTCTTAGATATATATATTTTTTTGTATACTGTACCTATATTTATTTGTAGTTTAATATTTTTTATTCATATATATTATGACTTATCCTATATCATGTAACAAATAAACTATTCTTATTATTATTACTAAGTAGTTACTTAGGGTGAGATTACAGAACGTCTGCAACTTTGCAGATTTGCAAATATGGCGGACTTACAAATGCAAGTATTCCAAAAAATATTTGCAAATTCGCAATATTTATTGTGGTTTATTATCCCCAACAACACTAAACCCAAATTTGGAATACGAAAACTTGATACTTGCATGTGTAAGTCAGTCATATTTGCAGATTTGCAAAGTTGCCGCCATATTTGCAGATCTGCAAAGTTGCAGATGTTCTGTAATCTCACCCTTAGTTTGAATTTGTTTTAGTTTAAAATAGCCGATCAACTTGTGCAATGCCATATGGACGTTCTGCAACAAATCAATGCCAACTTATCATTTTCTTGGTTGATTAAGAGATTTCTTGTCCAGTGTTTAAAAAATCTGGAAGACAATGCTGAGAGTATGGTTTTATTGAAATCGTTGTATATATTTACAAACAATGCCCATACATTCACTTATTTAATCCAAAAAGGTATCATAACAACTAATTTTTATTAATTTACTTACAAACCTAACCTTTTTAAACCCAAATCGAATATTTATCATTATTTTAGATTATTATGGATATCTGAGGAGACAACTAGAGAGTGGCAAACATTATTTACAAGAGACAATTCTTTTAATTCAGAAACCATTCAAATTTATAAACGAATCTGATTCTTTAACCAACTTAGCCCTTTCCGAGTTCTGTCTACATTTTTTGAAGCCAACGTTGACTTATAATGTCAAAAAAGTGCTCATTCCATATATGAAAAGTCAACCTCGAGATCTACCATTTGAAAAATTAATCCAATATCTAAATAGTGGCTTTCATCTTGAAAGTAGTCATAGCTTATTCTACTGCGTGCTGGATTTGGAACCAGATGATTATGGTAAGTTAAATTATATTATCGCCAAGTTAATAATAATAATAATAATGATATAATTTTAGAACCAAATTGTGACAGTATTGAAGTCCTTTCAAAACTAAGCGCTAATATTCATCAATTAAAACCGTCGTCAGATTTGACAGAAAATAGCGACGATGAAGAAGAGGAAGATCCTCTGACCATTGAAAAAAGATTACTACTGTCAGATTATTTGAAAATTTTGAATAAATACGGCAAAGTCAAGAAATGGCTCAATTATTTTGAGAAAAACAGCTCTGATGAACAAATCTTAATGGCATTTACTAATTTATGCCACAATCTGCTGTTGGTTTACAAAGATTCGATGAGAAAATATTTGTAAGTTAATTGGTTATTTATTTTTACAAATTTATACAAAAATAAGGTAATTTAAGTTAAATAATAAAAACAACTAGATAAGTATGGCCATTAGATCCATTTTAAATTTAGTACATTACCAATGAACAAGAATAGTCGCTAGCCACATTTTTATTTATTTTTAAAATTAAATATTTCAGATTATTGTACAAATTCGGCCTAAATAGTGTATTTTTAACCAAACTATGGGCGTATTTGAATAAAAACAATACCGGACAATTTGAAGCTAAAGGATCTTGCTTGGTAGCATGGAGGGATTTTCACACAACATTGTCTGTTTTCTGTGACATGTTTACATTCTACACTGAAACTTTGACTGATAGTGGTAAGTAACAGTATTTTTCTAGAATATATTTACTATTTTTAACGGAGATTCAATATATTTATAAAAAGAAAAATATAGAGGTTGCCCCTATAGGGGAGAATATAATAGAAAAAGGAGAATAATTTTAAACTTAAATGTGGGGGGATTTTAAAAGTTTAGCCACTTCCTTGAATATTCTTGATTACACTAAAATGGAGGTCATAAAGCCTGGGAAAATTAGAGTAACTCCAGACTGCTCGAAAACGGTTCGCATTACATTACAATATGTCAGGCTGATTAAAAATCAACTGACATGGCTTTGGAAAAATATACGTTGCCATTTCAGGATCTAATAAAGATTATTTTGCTATATATTTAGGAATTGAATCTAATTTTGTATTTGTATGTTTTATTTTTAGAAAATTCCGACACCAGTCACACTTTCTCTCATAACGAATTATTCGCTATGTCAAAATTACTGAAAAACGTAGCAAGAGGTCTCATAGAAGTGGCATTTCCGATGAGCAGATCTAGCTCTGTACCTTCAACTCCGGAAGTTCTCCATTTATACAGGGCGTGCCTGCACTGTGTGCGCATGTTGTATACTTTGGATTTGAGAAAGAAGTTCTGCCCTTTGGGATTCTGGACGTTGGACAAAATTCATATTCCTCCGGATTTGGCCAGGAAAGATTATCTATCGAAGAAGATATCGTCGTTTTACGGATCTAAGGAAGATGGTAAGAATAAATGTTTTGTATAATTTGACACACCCTGTATAAAACTTTTTGGAAATGAAGCAGAAAAAATAAGTAATAATTTGAAAATTCGGAAACAAATCTCTAAAATCCCCCTGCGAATTATTAAGACTTTCCCCAAACACCCATCATCATCAATCAAACCCAGACATCTTTATTTTCTGGACAAATGCCTTTACCGCTAAATCATGACAATATTGACTGTCGAGATTCCCAGATAGAAATTTAATGTGCTAGTTCGGGCCAGACGCCTTTTCAGGCTTGTTCACAAATCATCAAATACCTCTCTACAGCATCGGTACATATGAGAAATGCATTGATGCATACTTAGCCCATATCTTCGTCTGCATGAGTTAAGTTTTTAATGTACGTTAAGGGACGTAAACCTAAGTATGAAAATTGTGAATTTAATATATTTATAGATCGCAAATCGAAATTAGAAAAGTCAGAAACATCTGAAATAAGTTGTAGAATAATTTGAAAATTCGGTAACAAATCTCCAAAATTCCCTTACGAATTATTAAGAACTTCCCCGAACCCCAAATGTTAAAACAAATACTTAGAGATTTGAAAAAAAGCCTATCGTCGCCGAGTTTCGAACCCAGACATCTTTGTTCTCTAAGCAAAAGCCCTTACCGCTAGATCATGACGACATCAACTGTCGAGGTTCCTAGATAGATATTTGATGTGCTAGTTCGGGCCAGACGCCGTTTCAAACTCATTCTCAAATTACAAATACCTCCCTATATATGATGTAGTTGTTTGTAATATATAGGAAAAAATATAAGTAAGAAAATGTTGAAAAAATGTTAATGAAAAACTGTTGAAAAAAGTATTCGGACAAAATGTATAGGCTAAAAATGTAGGTAGATGAAAAAATGTTAAAAAACGTAGAGGAAAAAAAATAAATGCAAATATGTTGGAAATGTATTGAAAAAAATATATAGGAAAAAATGAAGTTAAAAAATGTAGGTAGATAAAAAAAGTGGATAAAAAAAGGAAATGAAAAAAAAAAAATGATTGTGAAAAATATGTTGAAAAAATGTTGCAAAATGTATTGGACAAATTGTATAGGAAAAAATGTAGGTAGATGAAAAAATTGTTAAAAACATAGATGAAAAAGTGAATGAAAAAATGTATTGGAAAAAATGTATAGGAAAAAATGAAGTTGAAAAATGTAGGTAGATGAAAAAAGTAACTGAAAAAAACGTAGATAAAAAAAAAGTGATTGAAAAATATATAGGAAAAAATTAAGTTAAAAATGTAGGTAGATAAAAAAGTAAAAAATGTAACTGAAAAAAGTAGATGAAAAAAAGTGGATGAGAAAAAATGTAGATCAAAAAATGTGAATGAAAAAATATTGAAAAATGTGTACGAAATATGAAGTTGAAAAATGTAGGTAGATGAAAAAAGTAAAAAATTCAACCTAAAAAAACGTTGATGAAAAAAATGTAAATAAAAAAATGGTTGTGAAAAAAATGTTTTGAAAAATATTGTTAAAGAAATAATTAGATGAAAAAAGTTAATGAATAAAATGTTAATAAAAAAAATGCTATGAAACATGTATAATAAAAAATGTAGATAACAAAAATGTTAAAAAGTAACCGAAAAACGTAAAAAAGTAGCTAAAAAAATAAAACAAAAGTTGAAAAAAATGTTGAAAAACCGTAGATGAAAAAAGATGCATGAAAAAAAGTTTAAAAAAGTTTAAAAATGTTAATAAAAAAAGTTATAAAACGTAGATGAAAAAAATGTTTGTGAAAAAAATGATGTGAAAAAATGCAACTGAAAAACGTAGATGAAAAAATGTTGAGAAAAAGTTGATGAGGAAACCGTAGATGAAAAAAGGTGCATGAAAAAAATTTTAAAAAGGTTTAAAAATGTTAATAAAAAAAGTTATAAAACGTAGATGAAAAAAATGTTTGTGAAAAAAATGATGTGAAAAAATGCAACTGAAAAACGTAGATGAAAAAATATTGAGAAAAAGTTGATGATGAAAATGTAGATGAAAAAATCTGAAGTTGAAAAATGTAGACGATAAAAATTGTAGTTAAAAAAAAAAGGAAAAAAAAAAATGTTTTGAAAAATGTTGAAAAAATGTGAATGAAAAATGCGCTGAAAGTGTATTGGACAAAATGTATTGAAAAAATGTAGGTAGAAAAAAAAAAGTTCAAAAGCGTAGATGAAAAAAAGTGAGTGAAGAAATGTTGAAAAATGTATTGAAAAAAATGTATAGGAAAAACTGAAGTTGAAAATGTAGGTAGATGAAAAAAAGTAAAAATGCAACTGAAAGAACGTAGATGAAAAAAATGTTGAAAAAAGTTGATAAGAAAAAATGTAGATAAAAAATGTTGAAAAATGTATTAGAAAAAATGTGTTGAAAATATGAAGTTGAAAAATGTAGGTAGATGAAAAAATGTTTTGAAAAAAATGTTGAAAAAATGTGAATGAAAAATGATGAAAATGTATTGGACAAAATGTATAGAAAAAAATGTAGGTAGATAAAAAAATGTTCCAAGGCCTAGGTGAAAAATTGTTGAAAAGCGTAGATAAAAAAATGTTGAAAAATGTATTGGAAAAAATGTATAAGGAAAAATAAAGTTAAAAAATGTACGTAGATGAAACAAGTAAAAAATGCAACTGAAAAACGTAGATGAAAAAAAGTTGACGAGAAAAATGTAGATGAAAAAATGTTGAAAAATGTATTAGAAAAAAATGTGTTGAAAATCTGAAGTTGAAAAATGTAGGTAGAGGCAAAAAAGTTACGGAAAAAGCGTAGATGAAAAAAGTTACGGAAAAAGCGTAGATGAAAAAAGTAAATGAAAAATATTGAAAAATGTATTGGGAAAAATGTATAGGAAAGATTGAAGTTGAAAAATGTAGGTGGGTGAAAAATGTTAAAAAGGCAACGGAAAAAAAACGTAGATGAAAAAATGTGGACAAAATGTAAATGAAAAATGTTAAATAAAGTAGATGAAAAAAAAAAAAAATGGATGAAAATGTAAGTATATGAAAAATGATTAAAAAAGCAACTGAAAAACTGTAGATGAAAAGAATGTTACAGAACATAAGTAGATGAAAAAAAAAAAAAAAAAAATTAAAAAAAAGACTAGATAAAAAATGTTAATAAAAAAAAAAATGTTATGAAAAATGTATAATAAAAAATGTAGATAAGAAAATTAAAAAAATAACTGAAAACGTAGATAAAAAAATGTTGAAAAAAAAAACGTTGATAAATAATATATGAAAAAATGTTAATCATAAAAATAACAATGAAAAAATGTTGAAAAACCGTAGATAAAAAAAGTGGATGAAAAATGGTCACAAAAAATTATGAAAAATGTAACTGAAAAAACGTAAATGAAAAAAATATTTTAGAAAAAAATGTAAATGAAAAATGTATAGGAAAAAAAATGTAAACAAAAAAAAACGCAAATAAAAAGATGTAAATGAAAAAAATGTTGAAAAAATTTGAATGAAAAAGGTATAAGAAAAAATGAAGTTGAAAATGTAGGTAAATGAAAAAAGTAAAAATGCAACTGAAAAACGTAGATGAAAAAAGTTGATGAGAAAAAATGTAGACAAAAAAAAAATGAAGTTGAAAAACTGTAGGCAGTTGAAAAAACTTAAAAAAATAACGGAAAATACGTAGATGAAAAAAGTGGATTAATGGATTAAAAAAATGGAATTTTATGGCAATTTAATTAATTATAGATAGTATCTCATTGGTATATTTTATGCGTTTGGCTATTATATTATATTAATTTTTAAATTAAATGATTATGGTATCAAGGATGTGCGATTAAAATAACTGAAGTAATTTTCTCGGTTATAACAATTAAGAAAGAATTCATAATAGAGTCCCCCAAGGCTCGATTTTAGGTCCGGTACTTTTTATTGTATATATTAATGAAATCCGCTTTCAAAACAAATCTTTCCAATTTTTGAATGTATTGTTACGCTGGTATTTGGTATCTCAATTTATTTCAACTCAACTTTTACAATAATTCAACTATACATTTGATAACATACATGAACATATACATCTATCATAAAACTGAACTGTGACGTCAGGATCATCGAGTTTTATAGCTGGTCTTCCTTGTATACAGGGTGGCCACTTTTTTAATGGGATTGTATTAGTAATTTTCAAACCATACTAGCTAGAAAGTTGGTTAAATAGAGAAAAAGTTGCCTATCTCAAAGCATAAACTAGCGGTGGAAATTAATCGAAAATAGCAGGCCCGGCTCTTGAGATATTTCGATAAATAAAAGGAAATTCGATCTTTTCGGTTTTTTGGTTATCGTTCATTTATTTTCAGAACTACTAAATAATATTTTAAAGGTTTTTTATTTGATAGTAAATTTTCTTTGATTTGACGTTTTCATATTTTGCATCCAACGTTTCATATTCTCCAGACCACCCTCAACTTATTTTTTTTAAATATGGACCTAGATATTTTATAACATTATTTGAAATAACTTTTCGTCCTACATCCAGCGATGTATTACACAATGGCATTCAATGACGGTTTTTGGGTAATATGGACCGTAATCCAAATTTTATTAAATTTATGCTTGGTTTCAGCCATCTTTATAGTCCAATCATTATAGTAAGTTCACCTCGGAATTCGAGATACCCAGCTGTAAGTCTGTAAATACTTGTATATTGACACCCTAAAAGTTGTCTCAAAACCTACATATAGTAGGGTGTACGCATCTATTAAATTTCAAGGTCAAAGGTCACAAAAATCGGTTTTTGCGCTTTTTTTGTAAATATCTCATTTCCTATGGGTTTTTTGCTATTTGTATTTATTATCAATATTGTAGAATACAAAATTCTCTAAAAATTTTGTTTAAAAAAATTTTTCATACGGTGAACCGTTTTCGAGATAGATGACGGAGAGCGCGCGGTCACAGCATCACTTCAGGTCCTCTTCATCGTCGTCTTCCGGCTGCTGGTAAATTTCAAACTGGTCTTC